AAAAAAAAAAAAAAAAGAATTAGGAAATACTCATTTATTTTAGAGGAATGTTAGATCTGACTCAGAAGAGAACCCAACCCTTCTTCCTTTTAAGCCATGTATGACTAACCATCAGTCTCAGTTTTATTTGGTAGTTTTAGCTAAGCTTTTGAAACATTTCTTTTAGAGTTTTCAATTTTTTTCAGAGTTAGGAATTTCAGAATGACTTTTAAAAAATCTACTCTAAATTAAATTAATTAAATTAAATTAGTTTTTCTTAAAGAAGCCTTGTTGCATTGTAAAATAGTGCCTGTAGGAAACTTTAAACTGTATCTCTAAAAGTCTTTCTTAACTTTTCCCCTCCTCTGTCCTTGCCACAGCCCAGATGCTGCTGATAGCACATCTTTTGATGTCCAGTTAGGAGACATTATCCTGACGGCAACAGATGGACTCTTTGACAACATGCCTGATTATATGATCCTTCAAGAGCTAAAAAAGTTAAAGGTAATTAACTCAAAGGTTAGCCCCTGGAAACTGTGGCCCTCTGTGGACAGCTGAGGCTTTATTGATTGAGTTGCATTATCTCCTTGTAGTTTTGGAAAGGAATATTTTGTGAACTTTAGAAAAATAATAGTTCTAATCTTTCAAGCAATTGTAAACAATTGTAAATAGTGTTGGATCACCATTGCAGAATTTGTGGGAAAAGTGGCTTCCTACCTAAGCCTTTCATAGGATGATAAAAGTAGGAAAGTCCAGATGAGGACATTTTTGTTTGTGTTTTTGTATATTTTTAATGATATTTAATAGTGTTGGGTCTTGGTTGCCTATTTCTCCTCTTATTCTTATAACATAGCCAGCAGGTGCTAAGTCTAGGAAAGACAGGAAACAGACCAGAGCCAGTCAAGGGTAGCAGGCAGCTAGACAGGTTTCTTCCATAAAGTGGGTGGAGGAAGGGGAAAACTGGATTTTGGGTATATTCCTGGCTTTGTGAATGTACTACCTCTGGGTGGAAAAGTCTTTTTTTCGCAAGTCTTTACCTTTAACTCGTATGACTGGGTAAGTTTTTAAAAACTGTTTAAGCAACATTTTCCTCACCTATAAAATGAGGAGTACTAAAGGTCCTATGTTATAGGGTTACAGTAAGGATTGACTAAGACCATGTGTAGGAAATCCTTGGCACTACACCTTATCTGCAGTGTTCAGTCAGTGTTAGGTGCTTACTTGGAACAGACACTGTGCTCTGTGTGGTAACAGTGGTGAACAGAAATGATGTGTCCCTGCCTGCATGGAGCTTACATTCTAGTGGAGGGAAACAGATAATATAGAAAAATAAATCTGATATAATATTGATGGTTAACAAGAAAAATAAAGCAGATAAGGAAATAGAGAGTAGAGGGTTCTATTCTAGATTGGTCAGGGATGGCCTCATTGAGGAAATAACATTGAAGCAGAGACCTGATACCGTATAAGTAATATATTTTTACTTATGCTGAAACTGGGTAGAATCTTAGAATATTAAAGCTGAAATGGACCTCGTGTTCCCATCCCCATTTTGTAGATAAGGAAGTTGAAGCAGCAAAGATAAAGGTGTGGCTCAAGATGACACAGCTGGGGCAGTGCCTATGGTTCAGTGGGTAGGGCGCCAGCCCCATATACCAAGGGTGG